CAGGAAGACACAATGAAAAGTACTCCATCTTTTTACATAAGGTTAAATTTGACACTTGAGTCTCTGAACAAATAACGCAGATCTGTCATCCATAAATCCCCACCTTACACTTCTCTGCTGTGGCACCTGAATATTACATATGTTCATCACAGCACTGAGGTGAGGGAAGGCATGGTACTGTCATTGATAATGCTGAGGTATGACTGATTTCCCATACTCGTGGCTGTCTTATGAGCAACTGCAATAATGCCACACAGATTACAAGCACAAAAGCAAGCAGCAACAGACCCAAGGCTATATATAAACTTGAAAAGAGGCAGCACATTAAGACCTGCAGCAGCTAAATCTCAAGAAAAACTTGATTAAAGTGTGTGTCCAATGGAGAAAGAAAAATATTTATCTCCATATTGCAACTGGCCATAGATGAAGACCACAATTTATACAATAACTGTTTCGCCACTTTCATTCTCAAGCATCCTCTTTGCAAAACTGATATATCATTTGCAGCTGAGCACTGAAGCCAAGGTAACAGTGTTTTCCGAAAGTCTTATCCTTGATATAGTTTGCAGTTACAGCTTAGAACACTGACACTGATTGAAGTGCTAGATATTCCACCTTGTGATTTAGTAAAGTGCTTAGCAAAAAACAGTGATGACATTTGTCTGCATAAACAAACTTAAATTTCACATTATCTCATTCCTTTGAAGTGCTTTGACAGTACAAAGGAGCTCACTTTTGGCTTCAGTTTGCTTGTCAAATATTCCATAGGCAGTAGAAAGAAAATACTTTCTAGGTAATACAACTCTGCTTACTCTTTTTTTTTGTTTGAGGAAGATAGTGCAAGTTGGGCTTTGGGATAGAAATCATCAGGTTGAAGCACTAAAAAGGATACCACTTTTTATAAATTACGTTTTTTAAAAGATGTTTAAAAATTAGCTTTTCCCCCACCCCAGGAATGGAACAATTCTTCGCATTCAATTTTTAGTAAATGCAGGATAGAAACTCAGAATTCTAAGATATTTGTCCCCAGTTCTTGGAGGAAAATATATTCCCCAATTAATCATCAATATTCTGATTTTGCTCAGCACTTTGAACTGCAAATGAAAGTCATTCAAATAAATTAATGGTGATAAAACTAATACATACTGTCGCCGCAGATCTGACAGCTTAGCTGTCAAAGCAGAGATTTCCCCCAAGGAACGAAGGATATCATCTCTTTCTTTAGGCTCCTCACATAATTCTGCAACTTTTCTTGCTTCAGCCATAATTCCCCGAATGTGTTCTTCTCCTTCACTGCCCCCATTAGGATCCGCAAGCCAATTCTTAATAGAAAGAAGTTGTGTACGAGTGAAGATAAACAGTAATATTACTTCTATAGAGACTTTTAAATAAAAATCAATACAGCTTTCAAAACTTTATTTAACAGAAAATACTTTTCAAAAGCAATTTTTGTTTATTAGATACCATGAAGTTCTTCTATTGTCTGGCAGATTTTCTGTTTTGTCAAACTAGATGAAGTTTATCCAAAAATTTTACATTCTCTCTCTCCCCAACATTTGCCAATAGTATTTTCAGAAGAAAATTTGACTAGTGGTTTTAGAGATTCATGATCTGGCTTTCAGAAGAAACATGAAAACAGACGCTCTTTTGCATAGCGTAGCATTCTTTACAGAGGTCTTCCTGAAAAGTTTCATTATCGCTTCATTTGAGAGATGTATATATAATATTAATGTGTATATATGTAGTTATGTACACATACACACATTTAGATAAGGGATACGTAGAAGGTTCATTATTTGATGACCATTATCACTGGGTAACAGGCTGACCATTGAGGGAGATTAACAGTTACAAAAACAAAGGATCAACTAAAAGAAAAAGTAGTTTCATTAACATTGTTTTGCATATTCGTGACAAATATGAAGTTCCAAATCCTGAACTCCACTCCCAAAGCAGAGCCCAAGGAAAGGGCTCTGGTTTTACCCACAGGTAGATCCGTGCAGTCTGAAACTCCTCTACTGTTTTCTTAAATAAGATCAGTTTATGTCCAAATGTAGGGTGTTTCCTCATTTTAATTTCACAACCTTGAAATTTTTAGCAGTGCTAAAAAAATTATCAAAAAAAAAAGTCATAAGCTGTAGCAAAACTCACAGCACCCTGTAAATTACTGAATTTAAGATTTTTCCATGTAAAAGCAAGTATCCCCTACATGTTCTTCCTAACAAGTAACTGTGCTGTGTTTGGAAACAACTGCAATAGTTCAATATAACAGCTCTAACAGCAGTAATGTAATCGTGTTCTGAAGTATTTATGAAATCATTAGTGGTACCTGAGCAGCATCGATCTTCTTAGCAATTGCCTGCTTAGAGTTTGTCATGGCCTCTAATTTGCGGGCTGCGTTCTCCACTTTTGCAGTGAGCATATCCAGACCTTGTGACACCTGCTGTGCTTTCTGCATAGCCATGGGTGTAGCACCCTGTCCTCTGCCCAAGACAAAGAGAGCATCACAGATTCAGCTCAGGACTGAACAAAGTTCTGTTCCAATGAAGAGACAACAAAAACTGTTTATGAGCATTCCCAGCAATTATTGCAAGAGATACAGTATTTAATCAGTTTTGGTTTTTATTCCCTGGGAAAACAAAAATAACTTGAGGAACATCACAACAAGAAGAGTTTAAAACTAAGAGAATATTTTCCCCTTTCCAGAATTTGACATTTAGCATCCTCAGAAGAATGAACTTTAAGTGTCACAAAGTAAGGCTATTTGAGGCTACAGTTCCATTAAAGCACCCAGGGCAAGACTTGTTATCTCCTCATTTACAGGTTGGTGCAAGTCAGTCAGAACCTGTAGGAGTTATGTCTCGCCACACCTAAGTGAGGACAGCACGTCTGTAAGTAAAAACAAAACGTCTTAGTTGCCTCAATCATGTTGAAAAAGTAGATTAAAGGTTACGGGCTATTGGCAAGACTTCTTAAAATGGTGAAAAGGATGCTAGCAATACAAATTTACAGGACTGTAGAAAACAATTTGCAGCACTACCACTGTTTGTTCAAATGCTTAGGAGTTAAAAGTTGGACAGAAAGATTACTTCAAATACATATGCCTGTATGTTTTGCATAAGAGATCTCCAACTCCATTCCAAAATAACTTGACTACTGGAAAGCTTTTTGAGCTTGTTAACTTTATCAAACTACTAACTTTTAAAAGACCATAGTAAGTGGAAGGATGACAAGCATGCTACTGAGATGCTAAGGTGTATTTACAGTCAGGCCACAGTCTCAAGATATGTTTCTTTATAACTTATTTCTCACAGGCTGAGTTGAAGTAATTTAGATAGTAAACCAGCATATAAATTAACTCATTTATTAGTACCTCTTAGTCCTGTCTCTTCCTCCACCTCCAAAAATTTCAAACAATACAAAGCTGACACCAGCCACTGCTTTACATGAAAAGTAAGAGTTTAGCCTCATTTCTAACACTGTGCAAAAACTGTTACAGAGAAGCTCTTACATTCTCTCAGGTCCATCAGCTGGAAATCCAAGTGAAGATAAACTAAAACCAGCTTCTCATCCACTACCACTATTATAGCTAATATACATCTCTTCTTCAATGACAATATAACCAGTATTTCTGAATTTTGGCCTTTTTAGCCTCTGTATAGCAAACTAACAACTTTTCATGGAAGTAAGTTATAGAAATATTCCAAGCTTGTGTACGTACCATTGCAACACTTCAGAGCCTAGCCGTCTACGGATTTAAAGTGAATTTGTTCTTAAGACAACTCAAAACAGTTCTCCAAATAACTTGCACTTGCTAACTTCCTGCACTTCAATAGGGCTCTAAGTCAGAAGAGGCACTTATTTTACCTAAAAGCTTTTTTCTTTTTTTTTTTTTTTTTAAATCTAAAACTTCCTAACTTGTATTGCTTTTCCTGACAATTTGAAAGACACATTAACATTTAGGAAAAGATATTATACCATGAAACCATTACCTGTATCCCTAATGGATCGCAATGAGTAGCTTTCTGGGGTTTCCCAGTGGGGTATTTTTGGGGGGTGGGGAGGAGTGTTACAACAAAATAAAGAAACCAGTGTTAGAGCACTCTAGCTTAACAATTTACTACACTGATAAGCAGCTGAAAAATTCCTTACACTCAAAGGAAACTGTGTTATAGTGTTCGAACTACATGGAATAGTTATTTCTTAGCTCATCGTCTGTATGCCTTCACAAAGGAATATCATACTTCCTACTTTCTGGCTAAAGAACAAAAGGCCATAGTGCCCAACATCAAAAAAAATATAGTAAACTTAGAGACTCAACTGCTGCCTAAAAGCAAAACCCCTTAAATTCAAAACACCACTGTAAAAGAATAACCAATTTCTAATGAGGAGGCAGAAAACTGATAAAGGGCTTTGGTTAAACAAGATTCTATGCAAGAAATGCACATGAAGTTCAGTAGAATTTATCAGTGACTGATAAACAACCTCAACAGCTACTGCTTGTGATCTAACATCCTAACAAACACCTGAAAACTAGAGTATTCATGTATCTTACAGTCACTGAGGTATACCCTCTTTGGAGAACAGACTTAACAGTAGAGTTTAAAATTTCATTTCTGCCTGATTTGGAGGAAGATTATATATGTTTGACATTAAACAAACTCCAAATTATCTACCTGAGCAATTTTGCTCATCACATTATATAATTAAGATTCCACATATTAAAACATATTGTTCTTATCAGAACAGACTGAAGTAAAAAAGGCAAAATACAGCTAGTGGCCTGCTCTCCTGCAGGTTCAGAAGTGACACAACTGCAAGTTCAGAAAAACTGTTTTAATAGTACTGGAAAATTGTCCATTAAAAGTAATAGATTTACCTAGCTCTGAGGTCAGCCAGTTGATCAGTCATCTGGCCCAGCGTTTTGCATGTTCCCAGAATCTCTCTGCGTTCTTTGCCTGCACACAGTTCTCCTGCTTTTCCAGCTTCATCAAGGATCTGCCTTATTGCTTGCTCACCAGCATCCCCTAAGATGCAGAGTCAGTTAGTAAAACAAACAAGACATTCCTTGACATGCATGAGTAAACTGCTACTGTCATCATGTCCCACCACATTAACTGCATTAGGTTCAGCCGTGAAAATACATTTATCAAAAACTATGATATACACACCAAATGTGATAATTATAATTGGACAGTATTTCTGAAGCAATATAGCATAGCTTTAATGTGCATCACATGCCATGTATTTCAAGTCATTCAATCATTCTGTTATCATAGCTTCATTTCTAGAAAAACTTCACTTATAGAATCTGTATTTCAGGCTAAGAAGGGAAAG